TAAAGCCGCAAAGAAATCATATCAAACTGTAGAAGAAGTTTAATTATTTGCTAATATCTTATAAACCTATCGAGTAATGGATGAAATGTGTTTCGGGGGTTTTTCGTCCCAAATTTTTGCCTTTTTTTCTGAATGCCATCAGTAAAAGTAGATCTACTTTGTACGTGACTAATGTTTGGAACCTAGAAGTTTAGAGTAAAAATGGATTTAAGAGGATCCATGAATTTCTTGCTAGATTTGTCACCTCTTGTGAGGATAAATTCTTCTTACCTAAGGTATCCAGCTTTGTGCAGTGGCATTTTATTGTTGTCGAACTATGTCTGGGGGGAAAAAAATTGCCAATAAAAAAAGTATTAATATGTTATCATCTGGCATTTTTCTTCTAAGAATGATATTGGAAAAATAATTTATCAATTAAGAATCGATTATCATGGCAGGACTATCACTATAAAGTGCACAACATTGCAAATTTTTATTATGACTGAGTATTATGTCCCTCTCTGACCTGAACAAACAAAGCAGCATAACTTGACCTTTTCATTTGGAAATGAAAGAGCTTTGATTCGTAGCTGTTTAAATGGACGTGTAGGAACTAAACTTTTGTATTCGGGTTATATTAGAGAGAGAGCACTATGACCAGCTTTAGTTGAATAAAAAAAAAAAAAATAATCTAGTTAGATGAGAGCAGTGAGGAAGACATTTGTTTTAATATTTCACAAGTGAACTATGTAAGATTGAGGGTTTAGGTTAATACTGTTTGATATAATTGGTTTAAATGCAGCAATAAGTTGTACATTAAACACCCAGTTATCATCAGGTATATCTGCAGAGATAAAGAGATTACGACAGAACTAAATTGCTCTCTCTGGAGACAGAAATGTCACTGACGTTATGCATCATTAGCGCTGCAAAGAAGGTGGCTTCATTGCTGAGCAAGGAGGGGGGGGGGGGTTCGAAATGAAACATCCGTGTTTAACTCAAGCAAAACTGTGCTGCATTTGGTGTTTTATATTTTTACTGCAGGACAAGAATATCTTTATCTGCTAAAGTTTAAAAAATATTTAGCAAATCAGCCGCACCTTTTAGATTTAAAAAAAAGTGTTATTAGGCTACATGATGTAGCTTATAGCAAAGGTTTCATAAATCCAGTCTGGCACATCTGTCAAAGTCAACCACAGTAGAGCAATTTACAATGATTTTTGTCTTCACACCTCCTAAGTGGCCAGTTCTCAATCCCAGAGCGCCACAGTGTTGACATCACATTTGGAAACGAAAGAGTGGTTCTGGGAAGATGTCATAACTTAACCAGACATTAAGCGATGGATGCCAAGCAAATCTGTGAGCCTGATAATGGAAATTCTCTAAAGAGTCTGGTATGTAAAAAAAAAAAAAATCCAGGAAAATACTTGATGACATTTGCCTTTGAGTGTTATGATGGCCAAATTTGTTATCTTATCTTAAAATAGGTCAGATTTTTCAACCTCTGTTAAATTTTTTTATGGAGTTGTGCAGAAAGTGCACGGATTGTTCAAAGATTTTGTGGTATATTAACTTTAGCATGCATTTAATTGTTTAAGAAAAAAGAACAGTGAGAAATATATCTATCACAAAAATTGTGCAGCGTCTTGTTTTTCTGTTTTCATGAATGTGAAGTTCTTAAATATGTTTTGCCTATTTCATTGGATCTGATTACTACTGTAGCAACTTAAAGATTTATATATCCAGACACGAAACATGCTACAAAAGTTATATGCACCCAACATATTCATACTTCTATGTGATAACAAATCCATCTTAAATGAACATTTTCTAATTCTTTAGAGATTAGGTGGAAGGGTTACAACACCCCTGCAATGATTTTACAAATAAACATTTTAATAATCAATCAGAAAACAAGAATCTTTTTTATTTGACTAAAAATATCTTTACAATAGCCTTTTTATTTGACCCTTTATGACTAAAACATAATTTGATGATCAGACTGACGCCTCAGTAGTTCAGCGCCGATCCCACTATCAGCCTGCAGCCTTTTTTTCCCTGTATGGACTCGGTTCCTGCATTGTTAAGCGGTATTTACGTTAAGCTTGTCCATTTTTAAATGGGTCCTAGCTAACAAACAATCAAATCTGTAAATGGATTATGTGGATATTCAGAAGCGACCAGCATCCAGCGGAACTCAGTAATAGCAATAGCAATTCCAGGTAGGGTTAAAATAAGTAAATGAAAAAAAAACTTGTCAAATACGAATGCGACCTACGAGCTAAAGAGCGCTGCACTTTTTTGTTTTTGCCACAGGTGGCAGCATCATTTGGTAAATTGTAAAAAACGTTAAAAAACATTTACTTGTTTTTGAATGGAAAACTAAAATAATATATATTCATTAAACATAGAGGGAACTATTTTGATTTTTGGTGATTATGATTTATAGACGATTTAAAGCCCAAACCTCGTTGACATGAAAATATCAAATTGGATCAATTAAAGGATATTATTAAACAGAAATTTCAGGTTTCTGAAAAGTATTTCTAATCACTCAGTACTTTGATGGATATCATTTAGCATATGATGTACTGCATCATTGTGACCTGGAGTAGGGGTGATCAGCCTGTGGCACTGCTGAGATGTAATGAAACACCAGGTTGCTTTAACGGAAGCCTCTTAGGTCAGGTGCCTCTCAACGTCGTCTTGACAACACCCCATAAATTCTGTAGAGGCTGAAGTCAGGCAGGTTTGCAGGCCAATCAGGCACCTGGGGTCAATGAATCAGCTCTGGTTCTGTTGGCAGTGTGGGCAGGTAGTAGGTCCTACTGGAAAAGGATATCTAATGCAATCAAAATCTCACACGCTATCCCTTTAATTTGTGCAGGTAATCAAGTATATCTATTAATAGCCTATTAAGAGTATTGTGAGCTTAAGGTAATAGTAATAATAAGGTAATAATAAGGTAATAGAGAGGTCCTCTTATTTAAGGCATAAACTATTTTATTCCATTGAGAAGTTCTGTCACATATGTTCAAAACAAAGCAAACTACATTTATTTAAAAAAATGGATTTGGCTTTACTTGACTATTTGCAATGATGGCACTGTTTTGGTTGATTTTTTTTTGCTTCAGCAAAAAACGCTGATTAGTTAGAGCTCTATAACAAGTTCCAAAAAAGCAGGGTCCTGTTGTAATAAAAAACATGCTAGCTTTCTGGGCATATTAGGATATTTTTTGTCAAACATTTAGTTTGCATTTTTTATCATCATAACTTTATGTTTTATGCATATTTTTAAAACAAAGTAAACAAAACAATGTTAATGTTTAAAAAAAAAATTTGTTCTACTTCTTTTGCAGTTTTATTCGAGGGGCCATATATTTTTAGAACATCAATACCCCATACCATCCCCAATTGACAATTCACTATAACTGCAATTAAACCAGGACTGACAAAATAAAAGGGTAATTAAGCACTGATGGATGTGATGGGTTCAAATGCATTTACATTGATTCAACTCAGATTGGAGATAAACAGCAAAAGGATTTAGCTGCATTCTTTAGAAAATATTCTCTCTAGTAATTTTCAGTTTCAGTAGAATTAAAAACATACCCATTGAGTATAATGCTACCTAAAATAGGTGTGTAATGGACTTGAGCAGCACAAGGTTGATTTACTGATGCTACAGCCACTGTGATTAAATGTGGTTTTGCACTCAGCATGCATTTATCTTTGTCATAATACTGTAAAAGTCCTACCATCATGCTGATTGGGAGCACTCATATTATTTCCTTTTGTCGCCCTCTTAATTACCTCTTTCTAACTATTCTCACAAAGATAACCTGAGTGTGATTAAATTTAACAGACCTTTTTGATAAGGATGTAATTTGGCCCAGGATGAGCTCTTAAAAGGCTGGTCATGCACAATACAGGGTGATCATTGTTAACCCCTATAAGTGAAGATGAAGAGGCATTATACCCACCACTTGTGATTATGTGCTTATAGGATCATTTTGATCATTAAAAGAGGGATATTGCACATGATTTATCCGAAATAGTTCAAATTTGGCCTGAGGGGGGCAGCAGAAGATAGGTCAAACCAAGGAAGTCATTCCTGTATGTAAAGGTCCTTTTGCACATTCAGACTCAATGCAGCAGATTAATACTAAGATTGAACTTTTCTTAATGCTGGGATTAGTTCTTCTAACAAGTTAGAGAGAAAGACAATTGCTACAAATCTTAAACTGTGATGCATATATAGTCTTAAAATTGTAAGTACCTGTGTCAATATGAAGATTTATCTGTTTGTTATTTCTGAAGTTTTATCTTCAAACTTTACCTGACAAAATTTGTGGTGCAAATCTAATTCTCCAAATGCATGTTTGGTGACATCTGGTGTCTTCCAGCTTTGGAGTGAAAGAGGTCTTAAACAAAACCGAAATGCTGTTTAAAGAAACTTCCTGCAGATTATTCCTTATCAGGAAATGTTCAGATATACTTTAGATACCACACAGTTCTTGTTACATAAAGTAGTAGTTTTGTAAGCAACAGGAAAAAAGGGTGTACTTTTTTCTTGTGCATGCTCCATAATCCTGTGGGAGCAGAGTAAGCATTTAAGACTAAGATGTAGACGGTGTGTTGAAATGTGTGAGTGATTTTAGGAGAGTCCCACAGGAATCTGTTGCAAGCCCTCACCTGCAGCAGACTAACCAGTTGATCTATATCTCGGGAAAATGTAGCTAGATTTAAAGCAAGATGGAATATTAAGGGCTTTACTTGCTTGTAAATAAGTGGCTGAGCTCATTTAAATTATACAAAAAATGACAAATTAAACCATGAGCTAAAAGTTAATGATTTATTTGAGAAGAAAATATATTGTTCAGTGTCTCTCATTATGGCATGGGGGGTTGATGATAAGTGTCGAAAACAATTGTGTTTTGTGATGCACCTAATTAAAAAACCTTGATGCTGGTGATTACTAGTGTTTGTGGATTTCTATGTGGGCATAGCGCCTCTCGTTTGAGAAGATTTTTCCAATAGCTGATGGTGAGGACACGCCTGTGTTTGAACAAGCGCTGTGGAGGTGTAGTCACACAAGAGACACTCTCTCCAGGATCTGAGGAAAAGAACTTGACGCTGCTGTCTGGCACAAGGCTGGTGTGAAACTCTAAAAGTTAAATAGGTAAATATGATAATCACACTCCCTAATACCAAAATATCACTTGATAATGCTTTATTTTATTTTTTATTTTTTGCAATGAAAAATGTTTTCGTTCATTATGGAAGTGTTCTCTTTTGTTATTGTGATGTTTAACCTTTGCTTTTCTCACTTTTTTATGTTGGTGTTTTGTCATCTGGCTATTAACCTAAATGCTTTATAACGTCTCTGTGTAAATTAATGGTAATCATACACATTTATTTCTTGCTACATGCAGTAAATGAAAACTAATTTTATGTTGAAAAATTGATATCACTGAGCTTTCCTATTCGTTTTGCAGTCAAGATGCCTGAAACAGCAGAGGCTGTGGCTGCCACTCTGACCACCAACAGAAACTGCACCATAGAGATAACCAATGTTAGTGGTAGCTTCTGTCTCATTAACCCCAAGTAAGTCTGCAGTTGCATCAACAAACTTCAAAAAAGGATGAATACCTTAAAAATATTTTTGAGGTCAAACCCCAATGAGAGAAATGAAGAAAATTTCTATAGATCTTGTAGCACTATGATGTTATATGTCTGGTTTATGGCAATGTGATAATATTTCAAAACTCTATTTCAGCGATTATGAAGCTACCACACTTTATTATCTTCTTTGCTTTAAAATACATGTTTATACTTGCAGCAAGAACAGCCAGACAGAAAAAGTTGACTCACTGCACATCTGCACACACCCCTTCAACTTAACGCATGCCACCTAAAATGGTGGTATAAAGCATGATGGTTATTTGATAGTCAAGTGTATAATAGTAATTAGAAAGGAAAATAAACTATTGTTTTAAAGAATATTTCACAGAAGCATCTGTAAAGCGTCACAACTTGGCAGAATCCATTTTAACTGCAATTACAGCAGTGGGTTTTTTGGTGTGTTTCTACCAGCTTTTCAATTCCAAAAATTGAATTTTTACTTTTGTTTTTTTTACGTGTTCACACCCGGTCATATTTAACTGAGAGAATCATAGTTAAACCCCCTTGATTATCTGTTTTATTTATGATCATCGAGGGTTAAAATCTGTAAAGGTGTAAACGAGTGAAAAGCAACAGCACAGGAATGCACCCTAAGTCCTTTGCCATGTGAGTCATGTTTCTGCATTTGTCTAAGTTTGTCAGGACAGGCCATATTTTGGATGGGTGATTTTCACATGTGACATTACATTGCTGAGAACATCCATCTATCTATCATGCACTGACACACTCTGCCTCATTGCACATTGTGTGCAGGTGGAGGCACTTTTGCTTAGAAGTCCATAGTAGTACACTTCCAGTCATACTTCATCCATCAGTGTACACTGTGTCGCTCTAGACTGCACAACTATTGAAAAGAAGCCTTAACACGCTTAAGGAAACTTTGCAACTTATTTTTTTCCCTTTTTTCACATTTGAGTAACACTAATTAGTTATTTGCTCTCTTTTATAGGGTTTACATGTCAAGTGGCTTTTCTTACCATCCACCCCAACCCACAGTTCGAACCCAAAAGACGGAAGTGTGCTCCTTCACAAAGGATGACAACACCGCCACTGGTGCAGTCGGCCTCCTGACTTATGACTTGTTCCACATGCAGAGTCGGGTTTGCTCTGAGCGCATGGCCATCATGTTCTCTGTGCCTTTCGACTTCAACATTTACAAGAACCGGCTGGCTGTGGGCGTGGTCGAGCATTCCCGGGCCTGCGACAAACATCTGTTCGACCAGATGTATGATGGGAAAGATCTCAGCAACTTCACCCGCTCAGACGCAAACGGGTGTGGTCTGGAATATAAAGCACAATATGTTGATTTAAAAGCCACAATGTCTACAGTCGGCAAAGCCATTGTTAAAGTGGAGCTGTATGATAAAATGGGGCGTTAGTGTGCAGACCAGTTGGGTTTTATCCTTCCATTTTTGTTGTTTTTTTTTGTGTCCTCAGAGTAAAAAGAACTTGGGTGATGTGATCACTGTTGTCATCTTGATATAAAAAAAAGCATTCAAGAGAGGAAGACTGATTTTGCTGTCATCAATATTTTGTGTCTGCTGAGAGATATCAATACCTGACAGCCAGCTCATTGATTTCCCATTAGCTAATGTCTTGGACTCATGTAAGCTGTACTCTCTCTACTCTTTAAATATGGTAATAAAACATTCAGACCCAATGCTCATGTTGCTTTTTGTTGAGTATGTTCTCCCTTTGTATGCCGGCAATATTACTGATGAACAGTAATTATCATTTAATCTTTTATCTGGATCTATTTAGTTTTAATGAGTGGCAACAGATGGAATGTCGCCGTAGATGTTTTTTTAATTGGTGCAATAACAGCTCTGTTTTTCAGTGGCTGGGAAACTCTTCATCTTGCTCAATTGTGCAGAATTTGGAAAACAGCAGCGGTGGTGGTAGAAAGAATAAGGTTAAAGGAGGCTCCAGAGATATATGCCTAGACTTGTATTATGGGCTTTTTTTCTGGAGAAAAACAACAAAGGAATGAGGTTCCTAAACAGCTTCTGTCAGGTGAATGTAATAAAAAAACAAAACCAAGGAAAGTACCGTTATCAAAAAAAAACAAGAAAAAAAAACAAGGGTGAATTGTTAGAAACAGATCCTACTAAGGGTGTGGGTATTAAAAACAAGGTTAACCAACACTTATATTTATTCCTTTTCCGTGGGCTTGAGCTAACTAGAACATGTATGTGGAAACAGGGTGTGTCGGGTCTGAATAATCTTGTGTTTCAAAAGGGAGGGAAACATCCTGGAAAGGGGGGGGGGGGCACCTCCCAGTCAGGTGTGTCTTTTCCCTCTTCTCCCATTTTACTCTCGTAATACTTCGACATTGTTAGTAGGTAAGTCTCTGAATTCATTTGAATTTAAACTATATTTTTAATTGAAATTTTGACTCAACAATTGTTTGATAGGTATTTTCTTTTTTTTCGTCAATCATTATTACTGTTGTAGCTTGTTGTTGCTGCAACCATTTCATGATTGTTCATAACTGTATCTGTGAAGTGCCTTATTAATGCTCTGTTGTCAGAGATGAAATTAAGTGTAGCAGAAGAACCAAGGTCTTGTATATTTATATAGTTTACAAGGGTAGCTAACAAGATTCATCAAACATTTTGGATAGAGATGAGTTTCTCACTACGGGCTGCATTGTTTTTTAGAAAACAGATATGGACTTGTAAAAATATGATTCTGAGTTTCTAAAGGTCCCGTTTGGGAACCGTTTGATTTATGCCAATAAATTATTTACTTGCCTTATTAAACAAACTAAATGTATCAGAATTAGCAAACTGTTGTTGTTGCAAACTGCGGCTAAGCGTATTTTAAAATAACTAAAACTTAATGACAAAGTTTTGGAAACTTGATAATAAGAAACTTGAAAAAGTTGTTTACTATAATGTTTACCATTTAAAAAGTTGTTGATAACAATCAGTTAAACTTGAAATCACACATGGATTAACAAAAAAACACTAAATTATATTTCAATCTTCTAAACCTCATTGTCAGTTCTAAAGTTAATTTGAGGTGGGAGTTAGAAGGTGTAATACAAGCATCAAGAAAGAGAAAAGCTGGATTTATTTCAGCAAACAAGCTTTACCATAATTAGGCAAATCTTTAAATTAGTTAAAATTAAGATTTAAGACTATCATCGATCATCCACTATTGAAGATTATCATAGACTACAGTGTAATTCCTACCTGTGTTTAAAGCAAAGACAAATATGCTAGCATCTGTTATCTCAACATAATTAAAAAGAGGCTGCAAATGTAAAATGCAATTATCTGTGGTACTCAGTTACAAGTATTATATCAATCATTTAATCATTCTGTGAATTGTAGTTTGTTGTATTTCACTTTGAATGCTGCAAATTTGAAAACAATGTGTAAGCTAAAATGAATGAACGCCAGTAGCCATGCCTTTCATGTTGTCTGATTAAGGTATCTGACATCTGAATAATTTTTGCTTTACAAGCAGATCAAACATTGTTACAGTATGACAGAGTCGGCTGAAGCTGTGGCAGGTGATGTGACCAGCAAGAGAAGCGTGACGATTGAAATCTCAAACATCACCAATAACTACTGCCTTATCAGTCCCAAGTAAGAAATGTGTTGATCTTTCATATTTTTTCAGTTTGCACACCAGATGTTTGCTTATACTGCATAACATGATGCATAGTCTTGCTAGTAGACATTATATCAGACTTTTCCAACTTGGGTCACTTGAGAATGCAAAAATTATTTCATTTGTTCAGAAATTCGGGGCTCACTTCTGTTAGTGTGTCCCAGGGCACCAGTGGCTACAATGTAGCTTGCCACCATCAGTGTGTGATGACTGAATGTAGAATAAATGGGTTCCTCAGATTTGATAAAGTGTTATACAAGTTCCAGCTATGTCTACAAAAAAATAAGTTATTTTATAAAAACACAATTTTACCAGCTTAAACTTACATTTTCACATGCTTTGCTCTTATTCTGGGAGTATTAGGCCAATTTTGCACAAACACACATTTATCTCTTAGACTTCCCATGCTGCTTATGTTTACATATTTTATTATATGAACCTGACTTACTAAAGTCAACAATCCTCTTCTTAATAACTTGAATGACTGCTTATTTTCTCATGATGTCCAGCAATAAATATTGAGGCCTTGAAATGATTTGCCTTTATGTAAGTCAGATCTTGATAAAAGTGTGACTTTTGAAATTAAAGCTTTCTAGAAAGCTATAGTAATTCTAACTGATCCTGATTCAAAGCTTTATTTTGATTCTAATGTAACCAGTGAGAAAAAAAATTAAAGGATTGTAAGATGTTTTTATACATTGTATGTAAATTGCAGGCTAACAGTTGGTTTGTCTTACTTTCATTCTGCTTAGAGCCTACCTTGACAATGGAGAGGTGTTCAACCCGCCTCAACCGACGGTGCGCCCCCTAAAGACGGAGGTGTGCACCTTTACCAAATCTCGTGGAAAAGCAACGGGCAGCGTAGGTGTCCTGACTTACGATCTCTTCGAGAGGTCCCAGAATGACTACATAGAGACCCTGGCCATCATGTTTTCAGTTCCCTGGGACTACAACCTGTACAAGAACTGGTTTGCGGTGGGCATCTATAAAAAGGGTCGTAACTGTGATGAGGCTTTGTTCAAAGAAATGTACTATGAGAAGAAACAGCTTGAGCATGGTTTTGTCAGAGGTGAAGCCAATGGCTCAGGAATCAATTATATCGGTAATTTTCTTGACATCAAAGCTACCATGTGTCCCATGGGCAACTCCATCATGAAAGTGGAGATATGGGACAAGCTTTTCACATCCATGGGGCAGCAATCTTATTAGAACACCTCACAGTTACAGAAACCTTTAAGAGAATTTGTTGTTGTTTTTTTGCAGACTTCTTAAAATAAAGACAGCATTAGCTGTCCTGGAACCGATCTGTTGTTGCTGAATTTGTTCTGTATGTCCTGGTATTACATTTCTGCTTAAGATCAGACTTTGTCTGTTTTTAAATCCTTCCAGAATGAATGTCCCTTTATTGGAAAAGCTTTTATGTATTTCTATACCACCCAGTTTAAAACCAACCTATCTAGAAAAGGAAATCATAGAATGACTCCCTGAAGGATGAGGGCAATAGCTTAATGAAACACAGATAGTACCTGTCTGAATTCACCTTGACATAATTCTTTCTGGAATAAAATAAACCTTTTTGCCGAAGCTAATTGTGTTTCTCTTCTGTGTGCTGATTGGGGTTTAAAAGGGTTTAAAAAGGGTATTGAAATACTTAATGGAAAAAAAAAAAATTTCAATTCACTTTCCATCCAAGGTGTGTTTCATTTTTTTACAATGTCGTGATTACCTTGAGGTGACCCTGAGATTTGGACAGGCACAGAAACATTTTTTTTTTTCAACAAAATGTTTGGTAAAAACTGACGACTATGGTGTTCACAGTATAATCTTGAATTATTTTATAAAAAAAACTATTTATATGTTATAAGGCCTTACTCTTAAGTTAAGGTGCAGTGTAATTATTAGCAGTTAACATGGAAAAACACCTTGATTCTAAAGTCCACCATTAACGTGTAGATTCACAAAGATATGAAGCAGGAGGCTGCACTGGAGATATCATGTTTCAGCAAATCTTAATGCTGTCATTCTGGTTTTAGTTTCCTATCATCAACATAAGACTTTTTGAGGCATTGACAGCTGCCTGCTCATAGGTACACAGATCAAAGGTTTTGGTCTGTGCTGTTTAATTTGCATAAAAGCAAATATGACATAGAGGCAGATATTGGGCTTGTTTAGACTCAGTCCTCAAGGCATTTTCTGATTAACTTAGTAAAGATATTGACAGATATTTTAGCTTTTAATCTTTTCTTTGTGTATCCAACAACTGCTCCTGCATCTATGCTCAATTTGTCTATTAAGTAGTTCAGTTTTCTTTACACCTGCACATGCACATATAGATATACTGAATGCATTTGAATGTGCATTATGCGATTTAAATGTTGAAATGAATAGTTGTGAAAGCAGAGCAGGATTAGATGATCCAAATGCAGAATTGAAAGATTTAAGAAAGTACTTTATTCTATATAGATAACCAAAAGAAATATTTGTCTACCGAAACAGGTGCAGTTTACTTTCAAAAGAAAAGGAGGTTTGAAAAGGTATTAGGAAAGTGCAGGTGTAAAATAATGCAAATATCATATCTTCTGCACTTGAAATAAACAGAAAGAAGACACACGCGTAAAAAAATCCTGAACATTGCTCATCATATTACCTGAAAAGAAAAAAAAAAGAAAAATTATATATATATATATATATATATATATATATATATATATATATATATATATATATATATATATATATATCAACTGTTATTTGAATGTACTACACAAAAGTAATCTCAACTGAGTGTGTAAAAAATATGAAAAGTGACAGGTTTCCATGACCTGATGGTTCAGGGTAGACTGCAGAGCTTAAATCTTGCATGCAGAAATACATTAAGCTGTTTTTTTAGGTCTTAAAAGAGAAAAAATAAAACCTTTAAAGCTAGAGTCTGGTTGTGCATTGTACAAAATGCTCTCAAACACTGCCATCTAGAGGCCTGTTATGAAACAAAATATTTTTAAAGCCACATTACAGAAAATCATTACAGAAAAAGTTAATGCGAATACATGAGCAAGAATAAATAATAATGAAATACATAAATTTCAGGAGTATAACAAAGTAAAGTCAGATATTTTTCTGTTAAAAGTTTGAGTTTTGGTTGTTGTCTTTTTTCTTTTTGGCTTCACCAAGTACTTTGTAACTCTGTCTTCTTCAGCTGCCACCAACTCCAAACATGTAGTGACACCCAGTAGGATCTGCTTCTCTGTGATAGTTGACCTGACCTGATGGGTGACAGCCTGGAACAGAGAGTTGGCAGCATTCCCATCAGTTTCAGACTTCAGGTTTCATCAGTTGCTTTGCTACAGAACCCAAAAAAGTTTCAGGCTAAATTGAGGTTTCACCAAACTGTACTGCTTTTTTTCTAAACACATGCAGGATCTATTTCACGATATCTTCAGCTAAAGCGCAAGAGCCAGAAGTTGTGTTTTTCCTGGCTGGATATTGACATCGACTCACCAGGTTAGCTTGTTATTTTGAAATTTCTCAGCATGCAGAGTAACACAGATGAGTATCATCTAACATCAGAAATAACTTTTTAAAAAAAATGTTCATTGTTTTCTGAGCTTGAAATCCTTTAAATATTTGGATAACAGATTTGGATCCCCTGCAGCTCTAATTTTGGGGCGTATTGATCTACATGTTTATTGGATAAGATGTTTTGTGCAGCTGTTTTCTATTCCTAAAGTAAAAGCATGACATTTTGGTATATTTTGTCTTTCTCAGATAATTCTGACTAGACTTCTTTTTCTTTATCATATTATCCAGTCTTTTTTATTTCAAATTATGTCTTGTGCTGCAGATACAATTGCTCTTCTTGATAACTTAGCAGCCATATCTTATGAGAGGACATATGAGTGTTTTGTTTATCACTTTAACACTTTCTCCTCAGTTCTGGGTTGTTTATGAAACATGTTTTGCACTTTTGAGAGTTGCACTCTGTTGCTTTCCATAATACTGCCTCTCCACTAACACATATTCAGCTGTGAAATAAACCAGTCCAACCTTCCTCCTACAGAAACAGAGAAATTTCTCTGTCCTTTTAAGTCCTTATTCTTTTCTAAATCAAGGAAATAAAACCTAATGATGTCGATCTGAATTGTCGTTTGTTTACTGAAGGGAATTACAAGCAATTTGTACATCAAATAGGTGTATCTGTTCCATAGATACTCATGTTGAAACTTTGATTTATGTTGCTCCACAAATTCACCATCAAAGTCATATAATAATAATAACAATAATAATAATAATGCTACATTTTATTTCAAAGGCCCCTTTCTGGACACTCAAGGTCACAGTACAAAAGTTAAAAACACAATAGGAGAAACAAAGTCAAAACACAGAATAAACTCACACAAAAGAAATACAATTACAACTTTATTGATACAAGTACTTTAGTCTTTGGTGCTCAGACCTCGGCAGGAAACATTAGCGCTGAATTTATTTTGCTTTGATATGCATAAACAGGAGTAAGGGTAGGGATGTTTCCCCCCAGGCCTGAAACTGCTGCTGGAGTGAAGATAAATGAGGTTGGTCAGTACATGACTGCTGGCTGTGCTTGAGCTGAATGGAGACATCCAGTGGACTGCATGAGCTGGTACTAGTGCTTCACTCTGGGACCTGGAAGATGAGAGTCCAGCTTGAATAACACAGGTTGAGAGAACCTGTCCATGATGAGCAAGCATGGAGTGACAGTGGAGAGGAAAAAAACCTCCTTTGGGAAGAAACCTCTGGAAGAACCAGGCTCAACATGACAGTCTTCTGCCGGACCGGTTGAGATGAGACAGGAAGCAAAGCAAGAGTTCGGGAAGAATGACACTCTGATGAAGCTGGAGAAGGGGCTGGAGTTGGGTTGAATCGGGTCATCTGAGTCAAAGTCCGATATGGTGCAACCACTGCCAAGGCTTTGGGTAGCAGACTGAGATGTGGATTTGGCGACCTTTTAAGATGAGCAAAGGATGCTGATTGGGCTTTCGTGGAGGTGTGGTTCAAAACTGATTTGCTTGTGACGGAGGCAGGTAAGGGTAAGTAATCATTTATTCAGTTGAACTTCCGCCTAGGCTCCATTTTAAAATACAAAAAATACAAAGGCTGGGACAGGGAGATTAATGTCAAAGAGAATGGGCAATTTTAAACAGATGAGTTTTGATTTGAGATGGAGAAGTGAGTCAGTGTTTCTAAGTAAAAATGGTAGAGAGTTCCAGAAGCGGGGGGCACAGCAGTATATCTTGGCCCTCATCTCTGATAAAGAAAATAACTGATGTGCTATATTGGTCAAGTTAAAGTCCAGACCTCAATCTAACAGTGGGAATTTGAGCTGTGCAGATGAATGAACTATTTAGAAATTCAAATTTTGAATAAAGGCTCACTGCTTTCATGTCTGTGACAGTTTTGGTGTGTTCTTTTTTTTCCTATCAGTGCAGTTGACCTTTAGGTTGGCCTTCTCCCTTCTTTTTTTCATCATCTTTGGAGAACTAAGGAATCTTTTTGAACCACTTCACTCAAATTTCCAGCTGGCAGTGAAAAAAGGCTGTCCCTGTTCTGCATTTCTTTCGGTTTATTCTGACTGATGGGCAGCAGTTTTGATGTCAAACCTACTTGAACGTACAATCATCCGCTGCCAAAGTGATGTCAGCCAGCTGAAGAGTCAGCTCCAACACAGCAAAGCCAGCTGCCTGGCTCACATACCCAACAGAAAAACTAATTACCTATGTCAAGTTCACTAAATCATTTCAGAAGGTGCAGTTTTTAAAATGTACTCTACCTGACATGTGAAGAAAGTGTAGCTATTCCAACAGTTCCTTGAAAAAAATTATTTGAAAAAGTATTGTATAACCTTTTCAACAACCAGTCCATTAGATTATAGAGGCAATAATTTGATATGGGCCCCTTTTAAATTCCCATTACCCTATGATGAAAGATGTATTCTGATGTATTTAAGCAGTGTCCAGACTGCAGGCTTCCCAAAAGTCGGTCCTCGAGGGCCGCTGTCCTGCAGGTTTTAGAGGTTTCTCTGCTTTAGCACAGCTGATTCTGATGATTGCAGTTCAGCAAAAGCCTTTATATCAACTATCAATGTAAATCAGCTGTGCTGGAGCAGGGAAACCTCTAAAACCTGCAGGACAGAGGCCCTCAAGAACCTAGTTTGGGGATGCCTCGTCCAGAGGAATAGCCGATTTCTAAGTTGTTTTTTTTTCAAACAATAGCAAATGACAATTGCAAAAAAAGCAATACCTAAAATGTTAATTTTTTTGTGCAAAAGAAT